ATTCTTGAGAAATTTTAAAGTGATTCGGCAGTTTTGTGTTGAGTGGTTGAATGATATAATAAACCTCAAAAACGAACAGAGAGAACGTGCAACAAAATATGATCTTTTAGCTGTAAGATTATAATTATAATTATATGAATTATAATCATATCAAAATATGATCTTTTGATATGATTATAATTCATATCAAATGTCTGATTTCGGCTAATGGTACCTGAATTTCGCTCGATTTGTGGTTTTTAGGTGGAAATAAGCGAGTTACCGGTCGGAATTTGGACACAAAGGTATAAGGAGAAAGTTTTGGACGTGTTAAGCCGAAATAATATCATAACGTGAGTTCATAGTTTGATGGGGTTTTTTTTGTTTTTTTTTTCCTGTGGTTGCGTGTAAGCCTGGCGATTTTTACAAAAAGCTGAGTGTTTTTGATAATTTTTCAACAGAAAACTTCAATTGCATGCCACATTTCATTCAGTCGATCATTTCAACTAACGAAGAATCTCAATCGTGCGAGATCGTCTTTTGTAGCTTTCCTTCAATTGTTTGTGCATTTTTATAGCAATTATAAGGAATTGCATACGGAAGATTCGGTGAAATTTTTGCTGGAAATTCCAAAGGGCACACCAAATGGACTGTGCTCGAACAACGCCGCCGTGTCAGCTGATGAACGAAAACAAAAACTGCGTAAAGCACTAAAACTGGACAGTGTGGTGGGCACTTCGACGATGGTAAGAAGGCGTTTGTTGGGTTGAACAGTTGATTGCGTTGTTTTTATTTGCAATTTCATTTTCATTTTCGTCAGCAAAAAGTTTTGAGTTGAGGCGAAAAGCGCAAATCAATGAAAGTCAGCATTTAATCGCTCATTGTCAACAATGGCCATCTCATTCGGTACAGAAATTTCGAAGCGATTCGGAATAAAAGCATCGGATGGATGTTGACCGGGTTGATGATGCCCTAACCAACTGAGCGATATGTTAGGTGACGAGCTTTTATGTGACCCCACTGAATTTTTGTGTGTTCTTTCTTCAGGTACTGTTCGATGAGCGAAACACTCTGCGAAAATTCGATGCAATCGAAGAGATTTTCGAGGTATTTTTTGAAGTTCGTCGTCGAAAGTATATCGAACGACGTGAGCATCAGAAACGTCAACTGCAGGCCAAACTGAGATTCTTTGAGAATCAGGTTTGGGATTCTATCTGTTCATTATAATATTTCAAATGAGTCTGTTGCAAATTTTTGATGGTTGGTTTCTCAGTCAGAGAGAAACAAGAATTACAGTTTTGCACACATAATTTTTTAAACTCATAATTTGGAGGAAGCAATTTCATTTCAGCGATATCCACGAGAATTGATGAAAATTTGAATGAAAGTAAAAGAAATTGGCGTGGACTGAATATTTGTTAGCAAAAGAAAGTACCAACGCTTTGAAAAATAATACTGAAATTGTAGTATCGCTTCGTTGAAATGCTATTGAATAGAGAGTTGATAATCGAAGGAAAAAGTCGTCAAGATATAGAGGAAGCTTTAAGAAGCAGAAATTTCGAATCTGATCCACTTCATACGCAACAGGTTGATTGTTTAATTCACTCTCGTAAATCAATATAATGATTTTTGAATTGGTTTCCGATTGAAATTTTTTTTGCGTACGTTGCGAAAGCGTTCAAATTTTGATTTTAATGGATCGAATTTCATTATAAATTCAAGAACATCGGACTTAACGCTTGAATTTTGTGGAGTCTCGCGAGCTGATTGTTGAGTTTAGCGATGATGAGGGTGATTACAGGATGATGATGTTAATAATAATAGTGGTGGTGAACGTAATAAATCAAGCGCTGAATTTGGGTATCTTCTCGATATGCCGTTGATTCGGCTGACTAGTGAAGAGGCAAAATCGTTGTGTGAAAGGCGTGATTCGAAGAGAGTCGAAATGGATCAGTTGGAGCATACAGATTGGAAAACAATGTGGCGTGATGATCTTCAGAATCTGCTTGCGGTAAGTGGTTGCTTCGTAAAGTGATCTTCTTCATAGGTAATATCATATGTTCTTGTCATCATGCAAAATCGCACTTTAAATTAAACTCACCATTCATTTCGGGTGAAGTTTCCTTGTTGGAGTATTTCACTTATTGTTAGCCAACAATGAATTAGATTTTTAGTGGAATGAAGAAACGATTTCAAATTATTGTTTCGTTTGTGGATTTATCAAAGTTCATTTTGAATATTGAAGCAAGATTGAGTATATTCTGATTGTGAGGATAAATGCGTTTTTCATATGAAAGTTGTACGTTCAACTTTTATTATTGACTTGCTGTTTTTGCAGCAAACTTTCGTTCTTTTTGAAGATTGTGACAGATTTTTTTTGCAGCAAATGCAAAAAGCGGAACGGAAACGCAGACGTGTACAGTGATTGATTTTGCGACACGGATGTCGGATGCAAGTCGGCGATATACGGGGAATAACCTTATGATTTTTTGGATTTTGAAAATTATTATCTTTGTACAACATAGTGACACAAAATTATGAATGGTGATGGGAACGATAGAATCTAAATTCTGTAGGCACCGTAATGAAATGTCACACCATCAGCAGCGATTTTTTTCAGTTAGGCGTAGACTTGGGCTGATGCTGATGAGGAGGACCTAAAATGAAACTTCAGACCTTTTGCACTTAGGTGGTTCTCCTTCACATCACGAAACTGAGAAATTCTTGAATTATCTACGAGGTAAACTTTATAAAAACTCACCATTAGCTGCTGTAGATGTAACATTATTTGTATCATACTGATTACGGTTGTTCTCGGGTCATACCATTCATATCATTCATAGTTCTAAGACGGATCAAGAAAACATTGTGGAACGTATTGGGATGCTTTTAATAAAGAAACAAAATGTATCAAGTTATACTGAAGAATATTCAACCTTTTACTGAAAGCAGTGTTATGGATCCTTCTTCATTATATTGTTTTGTAACGATTTGAATAAAAGATATTGAGATCAGTGTTGAGACATTCGAATGTCTCAAATTTTTTTGATTAATCAATAATCCGTGTAGATGTATTGTGCTACTGAATTTACATTTTCTGTTAGCCAACAAGAAGCACCTTATTGTCAGTTCTTGTGGATTGATAATGTACTGTTCAAGAGGACAGTAAAAATATCAGCATTATTCGTAACAAATACGGCCACTTACAATGCAATGTAAATTTGGATTGAATTTAATAAACCGTTCTGGGGAATGGCATAGAAATGTGGAGAATTCTTTAGTAATTGCGTTGGAACTGTTGTATGCGGTTTATATTAGCGATGAAGACGAAACGGCGATAGCGAGAGTAAATCTCAATCCAATAACATTCACAATGATGATCAGTAGTAATGTTTTATCAGAAAGTTGTTACGGAATAATCTCCTCAGAGAATGATTAATATATCATTGAAAGCGTGAATGAGATATGGATATCACGACAAAAAAGCATTCACGAGATTAGACATAAACATCAGAACAAAGAAGCATGAGTTTATTCATGACAGCACTGAGAATTACCTTGTTCAAGGAAAGTGCGCACGGTAGGATTGGGAACCCTCGGTACCCAAGCCGAAGCCCGAGACACTACTCAGTCTAACTCAAGCGCATGCCCTATCTCCGAACAAATCGGCATTTCTCCAGACCGGTACTCTCGTGCCATATAGCGAAGGAAAGACGATAGCGACACCCGGTATGCATCACCAGCACATTGTGAAATCGCTCCCTGATTCGCCGAAGCTGCCGCTAGGCGCATCAATGCCTGTCGCTCAGTTCCGGACCTAGCTCCGCTTATCATCACTTCCGCGGATCAGGAAAATCTACATAAACCATTAAAAAATCATAAAAGTTGATGTGACCATTGCCCACATACCGAATATCAACGACATTAGTCCAACCGTTATGAGACCACAATAACGGATAACATCTCCGATCTACAGTGATGCAATGCATTTCAAAGAGCACCATTGCGCTAGTTGAGATAGCTTTAAAAAAGGCTGTACCTCCTCAACCAAGCAGAGTCCCCTAACAAAAAATATATATATATTTCTGAATCCAGCGATTCTGCTCGATCGATTGGTGTGAAGAAATTCATATG